GCAAATTTTCTCATGGGGTAATCATTTGTTGCACATAGGGATAGGTGCTACTCCGTATTACAAGAAATCTTGCGCTACATTCCTGGGGGGTACCTACTCCGTATCCTAACCCCGGTCCCCTAGAATTTAGTACAAAGTCACTTGAAATAGGTACCCCGCATTCTACAAGTGGCTTTATGCTAAATTCAAGGGAGCTGGAGTTAAGATAAGGAATAGGTTCTCCTTTACTTAAAGATTAAGCCCTATTTCCGGTTCCCCTGTGTCAACACATAGTCTGTGAGTTGAGCCTTCAGCTACGTGTGCCACCACACCTCCCGCTGTGCGTGCTCTACACGTAAAACGACTGGCTACGTTGTTGTGTTGCATCTGTTCGGTTGCTACAGTCTATTGCACGCGTCCAACTTAAGCTGTTGCCACGCTAAAAACCGAACTAAATTTCATCCCCAGAGACAGGGTAACAATTCGAAGGAATCGTTGGCAGATTAAGCAAAAGTCACCCAGACTGTACACTTATTCACGCGCAACTCACCACCATCAGGATCTTGGTGGTCCTGGTCGCTTCCGCTAGACGAATTACGAACATCCCATATTCGATTAAATTTTCACCCTGTTATTCGTTTGCAACGTTATTATTGAGTTCAGACACAGGTTGTCACGGTACCCTGACTACTCTCTTATGATTCCTTTCAGGTACGTACTCCCGAACCATATGATGAAGACGATTGCGGAAGAGCTGCCCAGGTTAGCCTAGACAATAGTTTTGTTTTATACGTTCTACTTAGAAGTAGTTAGTGGGCATTTATATTTATTTTACATCGCGTGAAAGTGGCATATACCGCCCTGTTTTGACTGCCAAACAAATATGGTTGCTCCTCTGTTGCCTTGTTAACGCTCTCATTTCACACATGCAGTAGATTGCTGACTGGCGACCAGTCATTTGGGGAGGTTTTACTGTCATCAAAAAGTGGAACAATCGTTGATGAACGTTCACCGAACGTTACTGGAACATTGAAATAACCGTTTCTGGGTTGTCTGACGTCATTAGCTGGTAGTGCCCATCTACACATCTCTTACAATCTGGAGAACTCTGTGCGGTCTATTGATATTTGACTGAGTATTTCCAATGTGAACTGACGCTAAATGAACCCTCATCTGGTGATTCGGCCGTTGTTGTTAGCTTGACCAGCTCCGGTCCCGTTCTCAGACATATAGTTTGGTGTTGAGTTATCACTGGCTGGACACTGCATATAACCCATAATTAATCACCGTAATGTTCTTTTATGTGTATAAAATTCCCCATTTATTATGCCTTCATACCTACTTCACTCATGTTATAGGGAAACTACGGGCATTTTTGCGTGCTGCAGTCCTATCCCTCCGCTGGTGCGAAAATACGTGTACGACATACACAAAATCATTCTTGATGCCCGAAATAACAAGCTCAGCGATTTGGTAAGCCAACGGACCTCTAAGTGTGCTGGCCTTTGTATACATTAGATACATTTTTGTATGGAATCCAACAAATTTTAAAACATAATCCTTGCCTTGAACCAACGGGAACTACTTTTTTTCATTGACACAGTGGTGGTTAGCGTTATTCTTTGTTTTCCAATTTCAACCTATTTTCAGATCAGAGTACGCAAAAACACGTTTATTGCTCTTTTTCTCTTTACTAATAACGGTTTTCTGATTTTTAAATTTACTGACAAAGCAATAGTCGCGAGTCATCTCACAGATGTTTTTAATTAAATTTAAATCTTTCGAACGTGGACGTAGAATTGATCGCTTTCTACTTTTTCTAGGACTATTTGGCCGTTAATTCAACACCATACTGACTGAAGAGGCTTCATTTTGTCAGACATCACGATATAGATCTTGTAAAAATTGTATGCTCCTGTTTGTAAGACTTGTCTCCATTATCTTTTCTTCTGAAACTTGTAGCTTTTGTTTAGCAGACCGTAAAAACCTCTGTTCCAAGAGTGAATCAGACCGACTTATTGATACATAATATATTCAACTTACATGACATGAGATTCTGGGGACTCTAATATTTTTTCACACCTTATTAATTGTTTCACCATTTATTGTCCTAAACAAATATATCTCCGACTTTAATGATACATCTCAGTTTGACATCGCTTATGGGTCATTATGCTTGTGTTCCCCATTCGTGCCTTTTCCTTACAGATGGTTGATGAACTTGCAGGTGAAATGTTTGACTCCTTCGAGCAGACTGACTCGCGAAATGTCCTTGCTGCTTCGCAAAAAATGGTGGACTCCCATTTGGTTGCTGCTCCTCCACACGACTTCTCTCGGAGACGCACCCTTCCGACATTTTCCAATTCCTTTAGAGGTACTCATGTTCATCCTTAAATTGACTGCCAGACTGCGGTCCTCAATATCATTCCTGTACATGTTGGCTTTCTTTATAGGTCCCACTATCACGGATGCCTGGTGCCCACCTTCTAAACTCGGAAAGTCCTTCGAAATGGTAAGGACATGCTCTCCCTTTGGACCGTTTTTTTACAATTTCATGGATCCATCCTTTGTGTCGTCATTGAGAAAGTATCCCTACTGCTGCCCGAATTCTAGTGGGCGGGAAAGAAACTGCGAGTGGAATTGGGTTGAACAAGGACATTCAGATAGCACTTAGAAGATACCCGCCAATATTACTTAATTATCTTCCCGCCTTGCATTATGCTGTCAGCAATTTTTGTGTACCTCGCGCATCTTATGCAAAGAGCCAGTCGGAGACCGGACCTGTAAGAACGAAGTCTAAGCCGTACTTATCGGTAACCATGGGTGTTATGAAAGTCAATGTTGAAGTGCTACACACACGCAAACTCGATCGGATGTATAGTCTTCCAGACACTTCTATCCGTTCTATACCTTTCGTTGACTGCATAATTGAGCTTTGCCGTAAGACTATGTGCGCGTATTTCTTGGTTTTTCCTTTTGAATTCTTACTAATTTAGCATTTTCTTCTAGAAATCTATCCCACCCAGTGGTCTGTACAAAGGTTATTCGGACCCTAGCCGCGGTGTGCTTCACAAGGTAGGTCTACCCTTTTTTTAAATCTTATAATATGATCAATTTTTCCGCCTTCTGATTCTGTCAGTTGGCCTTACTAATATACCCTGAAAGTCACGCCAGGCCACTTGATTACTGCCTCTATCCTTGGACCCAGTTGGGAAAACCCCAGTGCTCTCGGTGAGATTCGAGCCCGCGAAACCACCTCAGCTACGAAGCGAGAAGGAGCAAGACAGGCTGGCCAGTGAGGGGAAGAGGAATACTGCGGAGTGGACTCG